GGTCAGTGCTCCCTAGAGGGCAAGTATGATGTGGTTACTAGTAAGGTTCCCTGAAACCACTGGGCTGTTAATGAAAATTAATCATAGGACTGAGCTATAGCTCAGTGGGAAAGTGCTTGCCTAGTGTGTGCAAGACTCTGCCTAGAGCCCTACACCACAAAAAGCCATAATGGGCCTCACTAACAAGTTACTTCAAATGAGGAAATGACCCACCTCATGTTCAGAGACCACACATAAATACACACCAATAAACCAGTCAAGTAACACCTAGGATCTCCCTACCATTTCTTACAATTCCAACTTCAAAACAAGCAGAAATGCCTTGGGTGTAACCACCCTTAGGTCCAGTGTAGGTCTGTGTCCTCTTTTTAAAACGTGTTTTAAATGTTTTGCATGCATGTATGTTATGAGCACCAAAATGGAGATACAGACAGTTGTGAGTCACCACATGGTGCTGGTATTCAAACCTGGTCCTTCTGAAAAGTGACCGGGGCTCTTATCCACTGACCATCTACAACCCCAGCTTGTTTTTAATATCTATTCTTTCAAAAGCTTAAAACGCTCTGGCACTAGATAGAATAGGAGATGGGACTGTTCTTGAAAGGGACTTTTCTGCTCCTGTTGGCAGAAGAGAACAGTTATCAGGGGCAGCTGAAGAAAAGGTTAATAACCTGCAATGAAGAGTCAAAGTTCACAGGCTTTTTTTTTTTTTTTTTTAGCAGGCTGGGACTCCCCCAGTCACTAGATCAGAACTGGGTCTTAGGCTGAGATTGCCTTATGTAGGGCATATAGTTGACAGGATTGCTTTGGAGAGTTTTGGGGACTTTGTTCTGTGGAAATTCATGATTATGGTCTCTTTATAACATGGTAACATTACCACAAAGGAATGGCAAATGGCCATTACTGAGAAGCCCCGAGTTTTTCTGAATGTATAGAACAACAAAAAAGTGTAACACACATCTGGTTTTATTTCAACTTGTTATTTATTGGTTGTATTCCAGGGTCACATACTTTCACTCAATTGAGCACAAAGCCCTTCCATAGTTGGTTTAACAGAAGACAGTTAAAGTCATGTAGATTTCTCTTGAAGTCGGATGCTTTTGCTAAGTGATTTCCTTTATTATTAGTTATATAAAAATAAGTCATTCCTGTATGGATCTGACGACTATTTCCAAAAACAAACAACAAAACCAGCTCTGTCAATAATAAAGGAAAAAACAACTAAATGCCAATCTGAAAACTACAAATATTTCAAAACAGACAAAGTATTAAAAATGTTTAGGAAGCTTTAATTTGATGCACAAATACATGCTAATCTAGACACAAAAAGGCAAATATTGTCTGATTCTAGCAGTATAAAGTATCTGGGACAGGCAAACTCAGAGACAGAAAGACTAGTGGGAAGAGGGGTAGAGGGGAGTGACTGCTCACAGGTCTGTGATGATGATTACCACCCCAATTTTGGCCAAAATGTTGGACCCTCGCCTCAAAACAAAACAAGTGGCAGATCATGGTGGCACATATCTTTAATTTCTCTGAGTCTGAGGTTAGCCTGGTTTACATAGTGAGTTCCAGATAACCAGGGCTATATCAAGTCTCAAAACAAACAAACAAACGAACAATAAAAAGCATCAAAAAGTGACAATCATTTGTTGTGTAACAATTTCTTAGAGACTGAAACATTCCATCCTCCAAAAAGCTCCTTAAAACAGGACTACAAACTCAAAAGATTCAGGAAGTCCCCGAAACTAAGCAGAATTCCTAGTCCCCTCCTGGCCAGAGCAAACAATAAAAGCTGAGTCCCCTCAGAAAAAAATGCAGTTGAGCTGCAAAAGACTCTCACAGTAGATCATCTGCCTGCAAGGGGTTTGGACCAAGGCACTTGGAAAGGACACTCCCTAAGCTGTTGAGCTACCTGCAGGCTGTGTTGTGTGGTTCAGGTTCCCAGTCTGTGAACTGTCACCCATGCTGGGGTGGGCTTTAGTGATACAACTGTCTTTTGAGTCATTTCTGCTTCTATAAATACTCCAATAACACTAGTTCCCCAAGTTAGACTTTCCGGTGATATGCACACTGATCTGTGTGGGTTCCCTATCTAGGGTGAGCAGCCCCGTGTGTTGCATCTTCCCAGGAAAAGTTTTGTCACTCAACATCACTGAGGTACTACTGGGAGATAGACAAAGTATTGAACTGTGAGAGGTGAAGGAAAGGGGCAGTCCTCTATGCCCTCTACCAGTAAGAGTTACAGTGCTTTGCTACTGTTTCATTCAAAACATGACCTCCACAAACAATGCTGTCACTCTAAAGTTCAAAGAGGTAACAACAGAGACCTACAAAACCCAAATATCTGGCTTCCACAAATTCCTACTAACATGTATTTAAACCAAACCAAAACCTCCAAGAGGCACAAAAAAATTTCTAGTGTATTAAGACTATCCCTAATCTTTTTTTTTTTTTTTTTGATTTTCGAGACAGGGTTTCTCTGGAGCTTTTGGTTAAAGGCGTGCGCCAACTATCCCCATTCTTGCTCGGTGTGGTGGATCCAGCCTTCAATCTCAGCACTTGGGACGCAGAGGCAGGAGGATCTGAGTTCAAGGCCAGTCTGGTCTAAAGCGCTAGTTCCAAGACAGTCAGGGAAAAACACAGAGAAACCTTGTCTCAAAAAATAGTAAGACTAACCACATGTATAACTATTTTTACAAGGGCTACAGGTAATGAAGCTTGGTGCTTATGTAAATCTGTGGCTTCCTAGTTTAGCTCACCTAAAGCATTAATTCAATAAACTATACAACGTGGAGTGGCAACTCATGCCTAGAATCAAATGAGAACCATTCCTACTACAGCAACATCACATACATGACAGACTTAATTTAGCTAATCTCCTTGCACTTCTTCGCTTATTGCATGGCCTTAATTCAGTTCTGAAGATTAAATTATTTTCAGAATCTGAACTTGGGACATGCATAGTTGACCACACACCACTTAGCTCCTTTTTGGTAATAACTGCAAGCCACAAAGGCATGGAAGAAGGACCATTTACCACCAAGACATTCAGAGGAAATAGGCCATCCCTTGCTATTGTCATCAAATATTTATAACCACTGTTTTTGCAAACTACTCAGTAACACACCAATTAAGGTTTTAAAGAAACAGACATTAAAATACCCCCGAGCTATTCTATGTGCCCTTGTACAGCCAGTAACACAAGGGAAGTAATGACTAAATGCTGACTTAATTGTAAATTAACCCACATTAGCCAGGTCCCTCACTTTCTCCCCAAACTGGCTGTCTCAATACACACTGCTTCATAAATCAATATCACACACACTATCAAGTTTTTCCCCCCCTGTCTAGAAAAGCAAGTTATCACTTTGGTAAGATCAAATGCCAAACAAGTAAAAGCTGTTTTATAACCTAAGTTTTGTATGGTTAACGTACTTGGCACCCCAAATTTGGTAAATTCATCTAAAGCCCTAAACCTGCTTTTTTTGTTGTTATTCCATTTCTACTAAAAGGGGGAAAAGTTTCTAAAGTTTAAACACATCAGTATACAAACTATTTGTTACCTACCAAAACGTGTGGTAGGCAGCGTTTGATTAACTATTAGGTAGTGGCTAATTTCCTTTTATGTAAATATACAGCTCCTGATAAAAACTCAAACTGCTCAGCAGATTCTACCCAGAGATTCATTCAGTGCAGAACAGCGTCCTGAACACTTCCTACTATATTTCCGTAGAGCTCTCTCTCCCTCCTCCTCTCTGAACCACAGACCCATCAAGCTTCCTGTCATCTTGACACTACTAGACCAGCTTTTCCGTTAGGAACCTTCATGTATTTCACGAATTACTCTGAATTTTAACAGTTTAATAAATAAATCACATCATATTGAGACTCTGCCCAAATATGAGAATTCAGTAAAACGTAAAGGCTTTCAAACTCAAATTTTATCATCACAAGGGCTACGTGAACTAGCTAGGGTGTGATTATTCTGTCTAGGTAGTACCCCAACAATGAATGTTGACGTAGTATTGGATAAAACGAATAGTCAACAGCTCTTCCGGAGCTCTAAACAGAAAGGATTTCTCTTTCAATATAGGCTACTTGGGGCCCTACAGGGTCTTCCTGACTTTCGCTAAAAGCTGTTTAACATAGTAGAATTAACCACTTTTTATAATTCTTTTCATGAGGAAAACAAAGACCGCTTGTTTATAAAGTAAAAAGGCTACAGATGTGGGAAACTCCGACTTTTATTAGTTGATGGCAAATATTCACAGCTGTGCAAACCAGCCCAGCCTATCCGCATAGGGCCCAACACTTAAAAAACAAAACCCACAACTCGTCAAGACTCAAGAGACCAGTGAATGCTCGGCCCTTCCTTCCCGAACTCCCGTTCCGGGTCGAGCAGGCGAGGGAGCGCGCTGGCAGCGCGGGTGACAGGCTCCAACCGCCGCCGAACCCGCACACGCGAGCCCTACGTGCCACCCAAGTCCCGCCCCGCAGCGGCGACCGCCCCGGCCAGCGTGACCGCGGGCCAGCAGCGGCGGCCTCTGCGCAGCCCGCTCGGCGAAGGGCTTCGAGGAGACGCTTCGCGTCCACGGGAGCGGGGCGGGGCCGCGCCACCCCCAAGGGGACGGCGGGGGAACGGCGCACGTCCGGCCCGCGCCGCGGCCCTGTCAACGCCCGGCGGGTGGCCCGGCGCGGGGCGGCGCCCTCAACCGGCCCGCCGCACGTCCGTTGGCACGGGCGTGGAGGAGCGCCGGCCCCTCCCTCTGCGCCCGCCGCCACAGCCCGCTTCCGCTCGCTCAAACTACGCCATTGCGGCCTAGCCGGGCGCCGCCCCTCCCCCGCGCCGCCATCTTCGCGGCCCGCCGCCCCCGCCATCTTTTGGGGCCGCCATACTTGCCCGGGCGGAGAAGATGGCGGCGCCCATCACACACATAAAACATGGCTTCCCTTCAAAACAAAAACATCCCGAGCAGCGGCCCGCCGCTGGCACTCACCTGAAGACCACATGGTGACGGAGAACTCGCCCTCCAGGGTTTTGATCTGCACCTGCTTCTGCTCCCACTTCTTATTGCCCGGGTCGGCGCCGCCGCCGCCCGCCGCGCCGGCCCCGCTGCCCAGGTAACTCTTCTTGCCACTCTTCTTGCCGCCGCCCTTCTTGACGCGGCCGCCGCCCGACGAGGACCCGCCGCTCTTGCCGGCCGCCGCCACGGTGACCAGCGTCTGCTCGATGTAGTCGTCGTCGCCGCCGGCCGGCGCGGGCACCGGGATGAGGATCTGGTCCTCGAACCCGTCCTCGGCGCGCAGCCCGTCCGAGTCGTCGCCACCCACCACCTCCTCGCGCGTCTGCACCAGGATCACCTCCTGGTGGTGGTGCACCTGGCTCGGGTCGTCGGTGACCAGCGGCTGCAGCGCGATCATCGGCGGGTGGTGGTGGTGGTGGTGGTGGTGGTGGTGGCCGGCGTGCCCGTGGCCGCCCCCGCCGCCGTGGTCGCCGCCGCCGCCGTCCTCGTCGTCTTCATCGTCCTCCTCCTCCTCGCCCACCACCGTGGTCTCTATGGTCTCCACCGGGATGGTCTCCACCTCGATCTCGTGCAGTTCCACGATCTCGGCGGGCATCTCCGAGCCGTCCGTGGCAATGTAGAGGGTGTCGCCCGAGGCCATGGCTGAGGGCTCCGCCGCCACGGCCGCGGCGGCCTCGGCTCCTGGGCTGCGGGAGGGCGGGCGAGGAGGCGGCCGGCCGTGGGGAAGGAAGGCAGAGGGAGGAAGGCGGCGAGCGGGCGGGGGGGGGGAGGGGGCGGGCGGCGGGGGAAGGGGCGGGCGCGGCGGCCGCGGGGCTTCCCCGCCTCCCTAGCTCGGTGCGCCCCGCGCTCGCTCGGCCGCTGCTGGTCCTGCTCCCCGCCTGGCTTGCCTAGCCTCGGCTGCCCGCCCTGGCCGCGCCTCCTCCCGCCCTCCGGGCCGGCGTTACGCTGCCCCCTTCCTCTTGCGCCTCCGCCTCCTTCCACACAAATACCAACTCCTCAACCCGAGCCCAGATCTCGCCGCCGCCGCCACACTCTGCTCAGGCTCGGCCTCGCGAGACTTCCGCGAGGACCGCGGCCCGCCCCGCCTCGATCCCACTCGCTGTTCCTGGCCCTGGCTCCTCCCTCCCCACCAATCGCGCTGGCCCACTGGTCCTCTAGGCCCCGCCTACTCACCCGGGCTCCTCCCGATTGGGGGCCGCTGGGGTAGGGGGCGTGGTGGCCTTCACGCGCGCTGGCTGGCCCCCGGCGCGTGACGTCAGCTCCGCGCCGCCGTCGCCTTACGGCGCTCCGCGTCGCGCGGACCCCGCCTTCCGCGTTGCAACAGTGACAAAACTGCCGCTTGGGGCCGGGGCCACCTTCGAGAGTGGGCCGTCGACACTGCGCCTTCCGCCTCAGGAGCCGGCGAACGGTCCGCGTGACCCCGGCGCACGGTAACTAGAGCTGGGCTGAGGGGGGGCGCGCGCCTTGGGCTGCTGTGTTGCCGGCGGAGCGTGCGAACAGCGGCCGCGTCGCCGCAATAAAGTCTGCTCTGACGAGAAACGCCTGTGCTTGTGTTTTTTGTTGTTGTTGTTGTTTTGCGTTTGTCCTTGACTCCTGGGCTTGATTGGTGGCTCGGGAGTGAAGGACCGAGGGCAAATCCCGCCGCGGGTGCCAGCCCGGAACTCTGCGGCTCTCGTGCCGGTGCGCGCTGGGGCGACCGCGGCAGGCGGAAGCGGCGCGCGCAGCCTAGGGTTCACCGTTGGAAGTATGTCCGTTATTCTTTTATGACCCGCGGAAACCGGAGAGCGAGCCGTTGGGTGCCTGTTGGAACTGAGGGTCTCGGCTGCTCCAGCAGTGGACTCCACTATTGTAGCGTTCTAAAATTCTCCTGATACCTACCTTAGGATATCTTGACACAGGCTTCGCCTATTCATCGCTCTCATAAATATTCCTTTTGCCCACAAGTCTTTGCATTTGCCTCCTTGAAAATTGTGCCGCTTTCTTTTGTGCGATCCCCTTTATAGCTTTGACGGCTTGTATTTCCCTGGTGCAGATCAAGATGAATTGCTTAAGATACATTGTACCTAAGTGTTTCGGCGCATCCTTTCAGGCAACACAGGATGGCTTGCTTTTTCAAGAGAATCAACGAAAATTTGGGGAAGTGTGTAGTTTACACTTGTTTCTACGTTTAACGACCTACTTCATCTTTTGGACATTCTGGTTTACTCTTACCTACTGGAGTGTAGAGACCAGAGAGTACATTACATACATTTTTGATCAAACTTGTTTAAACAGTTACACATCTTATACTTTTGTTTGTTATTTTGTTTTTTTTTCGAGACAGGGTTTTTCTGTGTAGCTCTGGTTCTCGTAGAGCTCACTCTGTAGGCCAACGGGAACTCACAGAGAATCGCCTGCTTCTGCCTCCCAATTACTGGGCTTAAAGGTGTTTGCCACCATCGCCAACATGTTATAATTTTGAACATAAAGTCGAAACAAGATTTACTTGTGCATTCTTATAATCAGGGGGAACGGACATTGGACAGAAGCTTAAGGCCAGTCTTTGCTACAGGTATACCTGAAGTTCTTTTCTGAACTGAATAGCTCCCAGTATGTCTAGAAATCTTGCAGTTTTCTGCCTGATTCCCAAGTTTGAAGTTACACATTTGTGCCACCACGTCCTACCTCAGAGTTCTTTATCTTGGCATGAAGACAAATGGTTATTGACATGCATTTAAAAAGGTATTTCTTACACCAGCAATTGCATGCTGATTTCCTCCCACCTGTATGAGCAGGGACTTTGGCTGACCTGTCTACAGTGTAGTGCCTGGAGTGATTATTTCACTTTTGGATTCTTCCATAGTGAGGTAGAAGCAGAGACTGGAGTTCTGTGTGATGGTCTTGGCCTTTTCGTAGTCCTTCAACAGTTCCAGCTTGCTCCAGATCTCCATTTGCTGGGGAGGTAGACCAGAACAAGCACAGAAGGAACAAGACTGAAGGAACTTCCTAGTGTCCTAGAAATCAGAGCTTGTTAACGGTTGAGAAATGTGACAGCGTGTAAAGAGTGTTTTCTTTGGCCACTTGGCCAGGACAGCAGCAGAACAGAGTTGTGGCCTGTTAGCTGAGAACTCCTTTTGATGTCTCTGAAATTGCTGTTATTTCCCATTTGTCTGAACCTTACCTTAAATGCGTTTAAGGCATGTGTATGCGTGGAGGGTAAGAGTAGGCAGAAAGAAATGTCAGTTAAGGGAACCTGATCCCTCTTATCCATGCTGTGTTCAGCGAGAAACTGCTCGTGTGAGTCATGTATAGTAGGCAAGCATTTTACCACACAGCTACAACTCCAGCCTGGATGCCTGCCTGCCCTCTTTACTTTTTTTTTTTTTTTTTAGCAGGATCTTTATTACCTCTGGCTGTCCTAGAACATGCTATATAGACCAGGCTGACCTAAAACTCTGAGCAATTCTCTGCCTCCAAGAGCTAAGATTCTAAAGGAATGTGCCCAGCCCTCAGCTTCCTTTGAATAAAATCAAACCAACTGTTAAATATGTTTGCAGACAAGCACTATGACTCACGGTTGTAATTCCAGTGCTCAGGAAGCTGAGACAGGAGGATCACTGAGAGTTAGAGACTAGCCTGGGTTACTAGACCTTGTCTCAAAACAACCGTACAGTCTGACTGTACCATACTCTTACCTCTGGTACCTTTGGGTTGGCTCAGGCCTAGACTCTTGCTATCCTCTTCACAGCCATGTAGTTTGTCTGCTTTGTGAAATTTCCAGGGTTTTTTGTTTTTGTATTTTTGCTGTTTGCAACAGTTTTGTTACATAGTGTAGGCTTGTCTTGACCCGTCAGCCATCCTTTTGTCTCAGCCTCCCCAGGGTTGGGATTACAGTGGGCACACCACTGTACCTGGCAGACTGTGCTTTTAGGTTAGTTCTGATGTCTAGTTATTTTGTAGTTAATTAAAATGGGAATTGGGGGCTTTGTTAAGAATTGAGACTATTAGAGCTAGACAGGAGAAAGTGGAAGGTTTCTTTTAGTTGTAGGAAGTGGAGATCCTTTTTAGATCCTAACATCTGGACTGTAAGAGAGATATTTAGACCTCTGAAATTAATACATATATTAGGTTTGGAGTTTTTTCAGGGTGAAAAAAATCTAACTGTACATGAAACATCCATGTCATGTCTGTAAACCAACACCATTTACTCAATAGTTCATTTTATTTCTTTTTGTACAGCCTTGCTCAAATTCTTTCTTTGAGGTCAAATGACTTGTGAATGAGTCTATGACTGTTGCTCATAAAAGTTGAAATTTTGTCATAAATTAGCTTCTATTTTCTTTGTTCAGATAGTGCTTTCCACTATTGGGCAAAGAAAAAGAGAAGTAAATACATAATAGGTTTCACATGACATTTTCATACATACACATAATGTATTTCAATAAACATATTCCCCTCTATCAGTTTCTCCACTCTTCCTCCCTCTTCCCAGCTAGCCCCTTACTTTCATGTTCTGTGTGTTCTTATGTGTCTGTGTCTATCTTCTGATAAGTTGCATGACCATGGTAGTGTTTGTAACCACATTTCACCACATCGCTGTTGGAATACGAAATCGTAGGGAGTGTGTGCGTGAGGCAGGTCAGTATGGTAGAGTGGGAAGAGTTTGGACAGGTGGGAGTTGCCTGGTCCTCTGCCAGGGATTTTGTGCTTGATAAGGGGTTAAGAGAGTCCAGCACCAGAGGGATTGATGCTTTGATAAACAGGCAGCCTTTGTGCCAAAGAGGAGGTTGGCTATGAACAGAAAGTTCACTGGTATTTACTAGCATTTATTTATTTATTTTATTATTATTAATTATGGGGGAATGTGGGGCACATAAGTACAGGTGTCCACAGAGGCCAGAAGTGTCAGATCCCCTGTGGCTGGGTCTTACGTGTAAACAACCACCAATAAACATAGGTATTGGGAACTGAACTCGGCAAGAGCAGAACATGTTCATAATCACAGAACCATATCTCTTGAGCCCTCCGATCTATCTGTTAGGAAGAGCAGAGAGGCTGGAGACAGGCTCCATCCTAACTACCTGGAATAGAGATCTCCGAGAAGGAACATTCCAGCTGTGACTTGGAAGTGCTTAGGCCAGTGTTGCTGCTGAGTAACCTTCAACATGGGCTGTAGTGTGAAGGAGTCATAAAAGTCAGTAGATGAATTTACTCTGTGAAAACATCATCAATTAACAAGTTTACAGAGACTGGAGGACAGCTAAGTTTCTCAGCACATTAGGCCATACTTTTTTTTTTTCATTTTTATGAGCCATTTTTTTTTTGTTACAGTTGACACTTGAACTTTAGGGGTTAATTATGGAAATTAGGCTAGAAATGAAATTCTCATATGTGCTTAGCATGTGTACGGCCCTGGGTTCTATCAGGCTCCTCCCCCGAAGACTACAGGCCCTTATGGTGGAGTTAAGCAGTTAGCACTTAGGAAAGCAGCTGCCCAGAGTGGTGAGACAAGGAGAGAGGAGATGTCACTCATGTCGCCAGAGAACTACATTGTAGTAGGCAGCTGCCATTAGACAGTCTTTCTTCCCTTGTGTCTTGTATAGTTTGAAATGGGCATTAAAGGGTGGGGGAGGGGAGCAGGGACTTCATTGTTTAGTGCCAACTTTTGAAAAGATTGCTTAGTGTTAGGAGCCAACTTGGGTAAAAATGAGTTACCATCTTGAAAACAATCATGGCATCCTGTTACTGCCTGAGGAAAGGATTAGGGGTGTTCCTGCACTGTTTTTCATCAGTGGCATCTTCACTGTGCTAAGAATTCTATTGTACAGTGCCTGAATCTGTTCCTAGTGATTTTCTAACCTAACCATACCAAAAGCAGCCCCCCCTCCATGCCACCCATCACCTGCACGCTCAGTCTTCGCCTCTCGCCTAAGCTTTTCCAACCTTGAGCTAGCTTTAGTCACCTCTTATGTATGCTTGTGTTTCAGTATGCACACATGCATGCAGGTGCCTGCAGAATCCAGGAGAGGGTTCAAATCCCCTGGGATTATATGCAGTTTGAACTACTCTGTGTGGGTGTTGAGAGCCTAATTTCTCTGCAAGATCCCCAAGAACTCTAAACT